CCTTGTAGCTTCGACGCCCTTTTGTAGAGCCCACATCTCTCCGCAGTCAGCAAACCAATTGGCGGGATACCAGCCACCACCAGCAGTGCACCAGTCGAGACCGTTCTGTAAGCGCATGTCACGCGTAGCACTACTTTTCGCTGGATTCTCAATACTATCTGTCTATATTTGAACTTATCATCAGGAGGTAATAGCCTCCCAACTAGCAAAGTAGTGTTACAAGCTTTTCGTAAAAGAACCGTTCAGCCTTAAAAGCTCTCTACTGTTTTTGCCGAACTGGCTTAATGTTGTGTGGAATGCAAATTTGCTTTCTGCAACATATTTGCTCTAAAATGAGGTGTTTAAAATATTCTTATAGCATAGTTATACTACAGCTTATAGGGCAAATTTTTTAACTGTTGCATAAACGTTTATACAACTATTTTATACGGCATATTTGCACTTTAGTCAAAATAGTTGTGTTGTGGCATCCATTGTAAGGTTTATGAAACAAAACGGAGCCGTGTTGTTTTGCAGTGCAATTTACTACTTTAGCCAACAAATTGCTCCCAATGGAAGCACTTATACAACTGTTGTTTAGTAACTGTTAAAGGCTGTACATATGCTAAATATGTTGGCATACAAGTTCACCATAACCTAACTTTCTGCTGTCATATTTTTGTTAAAATGCCATAACCAATGTTTTAAGACAAACATCGCATGCATATTGGTTCAAAAGGTTTTATCAACTGTTCAAACAGAAGATATATATCTGGTACAAATTCTAGGTAAATCATTCGACTCTTTGGGTATTTCATTTCAGACATTTGTCAAATTGTTGTATAACACCTGCAGGCAACACCAAACTATTCTAATAAACTAAAGACAACATGGACGATGCCATGATTATACACAACCACCCGCCATAATGGGCAAACATGTATTCCTCTATTTAATATTAAATAATTATGTTTCAGTTCGAAATTACAGATATAAAGTGATAAACATTAGTGTAATTGGGTATAAATAAAGGATTTGTGGAAGCTTTAACACAGATAAGTTCAGTTTTACATCTCAAAAATCTAGACATACTTTTGATCATTATCAAAATATGAATCAAATACGAAGCCCGTAGAAATTGCGTAACTACTTTGCACGATAATCACAATAAAATTTCCTGCGCAAGTAATTCAATAACCCTGTATCACAGTGTAGAAGTTTATCATATACCTGTGTATGAAATTCACAATGGCCGATATGTAAGTAAACAAGATGACTGTAATGTGTTAGTTATACATATTCTTCATTTCGTCTATACAATACATAAGAAATAGTTTGGTTGCAATATAGTAGAATCACGTAACAGAATAGTTGACAAAAACTGAATCTTGCACTGACGCAAATGTCCTATAGCGGCTGCAAGAGGCTTACACTTTTGTTGTATAACTGTTACCTGCAGCGCTTATACAACCTCTTAAATGACTGAAGTGTCCAATTAGGTGTGCCCAATCCGCTTGTATAGGTGTTCTATGAGGGTTTTGCCAATGTTCATACAGAATACAATGCTGTGTAAGGAATACTGTATAATCATTTAGTTAGTTGGGCTAACGATACCTCGAAAAAAATGTCACCAAATCTGTAGGATTTCCTTATACAAAATCGCCCTACGTCTTAGCCGAAAACGTTACTTGAGCAGTGAATACAGTCTAACCTACATGCGTGATACATTCTGTATCTCGTTAATGATTTTTAATTACTTGCTGGGTGGTTTGGCCTAGGACGAAATATAATCGTATATTGTCTGCAACACGCAAGGCTGAGCAATGCGTTTTCTCTCCTAGTACCTAATGGTCACCACTTCAGAAGTAAGCTTCTTTTGCAGGAACTCGGGCGAAAGTGCCTGCGTTAAATTTGCTACATAAATACTTGCGATGACATAACAGTTTAGACTAGCAGGTCAATGTCATTTATTGGATACTATAAGTGATCAGATACGGCGACGATAGTAGTTATTCAGTTATTCTTCTGTACAGAGTCAACCTACACAACGCCATTTTTCTCTAATATGGAACGATCATTTTAAAACTCTCCAGACAGCTCTCGTTTTTTAGTGACAAAAAATGGTAATACATCTCTCTCTGTCAGGCGAAATGCGTTGATTATTGCTGATCAAACAAACGAGTAAGCACGATTTAACGTACCACAGTAAGCAACATCTATCTGCAGCCTTGTTTTGACATCTAATAGCTTAACCCACAGAGCGTCAAGATAGGGCATATTCAGATACAGTGCCGTGAACACTAACTAACATGAAAACTGTTGACTAAACTACTACTTCACTTATAATGCTCCAGGCTATCCTAGGGGAGTTCGTGTCCCACCCGTTTAGGACAGATACTCGCAGCCGCGCGAACTAGGAGTATGTCGAACAAGTGTGCACTAGACTGGAAGGATGCATGCAGCTATAATACAAACTATGTAATGGATGCTTATGAGAGGAACCACTTATTATTCAGATCCTATACACAGAGGGTGTTTTAGAAAGACGTGACAATATTTCACAGAGGGAAAGCACATTTAATGTTAACAACACAGGGTAAACGTTAAGTAAGTCATTATTTAAATTTGTGATAGATGGGGTTAAAAGAAGCAAAAAGTTTCATATAACATGGGGGCCAAGACTGCATTTTTTTAGAGAAAAGCGACTTTAAAGTAAAATCAAATCTGACAACGCCGCAATGCCAGACGCAAATTACGACGGAACGCAGTGTAAATAAAGATGGAGTTTGTTATTTTTGGCTCTTAGGTATTATTTCATTATTTGATACTGTACTCGTAAAATGCAAACAATTAAAAAAACGGACTTACCAGTAACTGTCTCAGCGCTTCACCTGGTGTGCGAAAGTTTATTGAGCGTATTGAAAAAATCCACTTATAAATAGGGAACACAATTTTGATACATACATTGTTTTTCTTTTTAAAGCCCACACTGCGCTTTTTTTGTATTTAAAGACGGTGTTCAAAATGTCGTCCTCCACTTTCCACACAAGCTTCATTACGACGAACCCAATTTCTTCTTACTGTAGGTCCTTTTATTATTTCAGCCGCATTAAATTTTTCTTTGCGAAGTTGTGTCTCAGTTTTTATTGGACCAGCCCCACAAACCATCCCTTTAAGTTCTCCCCAATACCAGAAATCCAACGGATTGAGGTCAGGCCATCTTGCTGGCCACTGTCGAGGATCAGGAGCATTTCGACCTAACCAGCGATTTGGATAATGTTCATTCAAATACTGAATGACGCCTCTAAAAATGTGTGGTGGTGCCCCGTCATGAAGAAACCACAAATTCTGTCTCCGTTATAATGGCATATTGTCTAAGGTTTGTTCCAAAAGTTCTGATAGGTTATTGGCTAGAAAGCTAAGGTATCATTCTCCTGACAACTTTGGGGGTAACTCGAAAGGGCCAATTACCTGATCGTCAAGAATATCCGCCCAAATATTTATTTTAAAACGTTGTTGGAAATGAGCTTCTCGAATGGTATGACTTTTCTTGGGCCCACGTGTGAGTATTATGGAAATTTAATATCCCGTCTCGCGTAAAAGTACAATCGCCCGTTGCTAGAATGTAACGAGGCCTGCACTCGATGTAGATGGTAGGGATAAAGCAACTTTTCCCGTAGGATTCTATGGACTATGGTATGCAATAGTCCCACGCGGTGGCCTAATTCCCGAGTGCTGATACCTGCATTGATTTCCACGATATCTAAAATTTGTTCCCCCTGCTCTACAGTAATCTATCTTTCATAAGTGCGAATATTAGTGAGCTGAACACTTCATGTATCTCGAAGTCTTTGGTACACTTGCACAAATGTCCTTCTGTCTAGGTGTACCCGTTGGCGAAATCTGTCGCGATACATTTGAGCTGCAAGATTTGGATTCTGACGAGCTTCACCGTAAACTAACAACATGTCGGCGAACTCTTGATTCGAGAACATTGTAAACAAACACGACGACGTACGCGAACAAAAACAAAACACACCCGATGCCCGATAACTAACCACTGTTACCGTCTGCGATCGATTGCCGGTTCGATAAGAGTGATGACGACGCGCTGTTGTCATGTGTGTTTTAAATATTTAATTCAATGAAACTTACTTATTGACTACAAATTTTGGCTTAGAAAAACTTAATGCCATTTATTTGTTAATATACCCAGTTTAAAAACATTTTAGTTTAGATTATAAAAATTAGTAAGGTTGTGGTGATGGTGGTCGTTATAAAGCACTTAAAGTTGTAAACTATAAAGCAATTTAGACAAAAATCTATTGACTTTTGGACCATGAGTCATATGAACTTTTTGACTTGTTTTGACCGCCTCCATTACCCATTTCAATAATAACTACCATAACGTTTACACCCTTCATACTTATGGGTCCAAAGATACTCCCCTGCCGAGTTACAGGGTGAACAAGTTTTGTTTACAAAATTGAAAAAATATCGTATCTACGCAGCAGGTAAAGATACTAAGTTACCACTGCTATTACAAGATGTTTCCTACACCACTGACCTTTTCGAAGAAAGGAAGTGCATTGAATAAAATATTCCTTGAATTTTGTCGCTTAGGGAAGTTTTGTCAGATCATTCGTTTTGGAGAAGATTTGAGGGAAAATCATAAAATATTCTTATAAAAGTTTCAGCCTCCCCTATCCAGCGTGAAGCTCGATATTTGAACCAGTATATGTCATGTGAAGAAAGCCACGGCAAAATTCTGAGTGTGGTCAGTAGCAGACTCAACTTAGTAACGAAAGGTAGTCAAACGATGAAATTGGAAATTGCGGATGTTAGGGATGTCCAAACGTACAAGCCTCGTTAACCTTCACTTGGTCGTGACTTCAAAAAATTATATCCGTTCGACGAAGCAAATGTACAATGGCTTGCGGACAGATTTTTAGTTGAGAATGAGGAAACTCGAGGAGGAGCACGTTCATGTATTCATAAAATGAAGACGTCCACGCTATCTGGGTGACCCTGGATATCGACAAGGTATTGGTCAGGAACTTGGTGTTAGTCAAGCAATGGTATCTGGGACTGTGGATAGAGTTGTGAACAGCATAGTTGCACAGTCGAACGGATGGATCAAGTTTCCAGCTACCAACCATGAACTGATGGAGGCCAAGCGGATATGGCAAAGCAAGTTTAATTTCCGACAGCAATTGGTGTAATTGATTGTACACATATAGGAATCCTGAAATCAAATCGCCATGGAGATGAAGTATATCAACCGAAAAGGAAACCTACTTTAAATGTGCAAGCCACTTGTGATGCCAGCGAGATGTTCACAAGAGTTGATGTCAGTTGGCCTGGATCAGTGCATGATTCCAGAATATCTATAAATGTTGTACTACTTTACGATGACGGTATTGAGCGATGCTTTTTGACTCCCTTCAGAAATCCTACTCCAGGTGCAGAAATTAATTATAATAAGCTTTTAAAACAAGAAAGAGTTATAATTGAACGCTGTTTCGCCAAACTGAAACGCCGATTTCCTATCCTACAGTATGTTTGCCACGTAAAGTTGGAAAATGTGCAGAAAATAATTATTGATGAAGATGAAGGAAATCATGAGAATGACGAATTTCCTCTCCACCAACTACGTCAACAAATAAGAATATACTTGAGTATTATAATAAATAGTTTTACTGATTAAAGTGTATTTATAAAATATAATAAGTCTCATTTTCGTGAACATCATAAGTTACAGGTGGCTTCTGACGCTGCATCATTTCTAATTTCGTTTAATAATACTCTTGTTGTAAGATACTTGTTTAGTACTGCAGTAATAGCACTAGACGTTGCAGTTCTTTTGTAGTTGACCCTTTGGTTTCCTCAGTTTCGTATTTCTCTGCTGCTAATTTTCTTTTTGGTGGCAATGTCTTCTGAATTGCTCACTGCGCTCGATATATAGTTCACTTCCTTCTTCTTGAACACTACCAACCTGAATGGCACCTCTAAATTTCCCAGTTGTAGGATTACAGTCACCTTCCATAGCTTTCAGCAAGTTTCTTTCCCAATCTAGCAATTTAATTGCTTTAATACCAGTTTTTTTAGATCTGTTTTTTCTTCAATCTTGATTTCATGTTGTTAATTTTTTTTAAGCCTTTAGTATCTAATGATTTACCGAATGTTGATTCGTATTTTTTCAACATCTTCTTCAGGGCATCGTCCTTTCTCATCTTTATTTTTGGAACTTGTGACTTTTGCAAAATAATGGCAGCTATGGCAATTTCATCTGTGATGAACTGCAGGTCGTTGCCATTATTTTTTATAGTTTCCTCATCACTTGAGGATGACATGCTTATTAATTTGATAAAAAACTGTATCCAGCAAAAATACGGAACGGTCTGTGTAAGCTCTGGAGTTCAACTGTCAGTGATGCTGAGTGAACGAACTCCCACGCCAACTACAAGCTGGAACAAGTCAGGACATCTCACTCAAGATACAAAACCTTTTACTTCTTCTTGGAGGATATCCTCGCGAGTATAAGGTAATCATTACCAATATGGAAACAAGGATATGCTTATACTTCTACCATCGAAGCAAGACCTTATACCTCATGCTTCCGAGGATATGCTTCTCTTTTATGAATTCGGCTCAATATCTTTATAAGACGATTAGTACTGAGCTATTAAGAAGAATGATTCAAAAACGGTGGCACCCCCGGTCACAATATTTGTAGAGCAGGTCCATCAAAGATAGCATGAAAGGTAGGGAGTGCGAAATACTTTGTATCATCTAGAGGAAGATTTAGGTGTTAGCTCAATTTATTAAAGGAACTTGACAACCTCAAAAATTAACTGGCGTTAGGGGTGTTCAGACAAACCGCTCATAGCTCAAAAACAGCCTACTTTATGGAAAAGTAACCAGTAACGATGAACTATTTACAAATCCCGTCTCCGCACGACCTAGAAGATGGTTACGAACCCAAGTTTAAATTTTAACATCCACCTGAAGTCTAAATGACAGCAACATGGAAAACTGCTCACCGTTAAATTCTAAATATAGAAGTTGAAATAATATTTACATTTTTTGTGGGCGAATTTGTAGCAACGCCGGAAATGGTATTGAAAAGTATACCAGATCGAAATTGTTAAAGCAGTGCTGAGATTCAAAAGTGTCCAAACCATTGAAATTTAATCTTTGCCGGTCAATAAATGAAAATACTAACGTTCATAATGCAGGTTTTTCTGATGGTTCGGCTGCCTCGGTATTGACTTGCAGGTCAGAAAAGGAAAATGAGCACCAATATATGCTTTGTAGGTGGCTCCGTAGTAGTTGTTTAAAGCACATCCGTCGCACGTCATTATGCACTATTACAAAATTCAGTTAACCCAAGAACTATAGCCTAGAGATCATGACAGTCGCCAACAATACAGTCATGCAATATTGCGGCTTAATACCCAAAATAACGATTTTCACCGACAATGAGCTATGAAGCCCACTTCAGTATGAACGGATTTGTTAATAAGCAGAATTGTCGTATCTGGCCATCAGAGAAGGCTCGTGTCATCCATCAACGACCACCACATCCTCGTCGAGTCACAGTTCGGTGCGGTGTTTGGTATGGAGGTGTCATTGGACCTAACAGGCGCCTCAAATCTAACAATTTAATCTGCAAGACATGTAGTTCCAGCAGGACGGAGCAACTTGCCACACAGCTAGACAAACAATGAATCTTTTGCTTAGAATATTTCCGGGACGATTAATTTCTCGATTTGGTCAACTGGCCACCAAGGTCACCAGATTTAACGGCTCCTGACTTTTTTATGGAGATTTTCGAAAAATAGTGCTTATGTCAGTAAACCAAATACTGTAGAGGAGCTGAAGAACAATATTACCGAAGCGGTTGAAAATATTCCTCCCAAAACCTACCAAAAAGTAATTGAAAATGTAATCAAAAGGTGTTAGGCTCGCGCGGCTTGTAAGTGCGAACATACACTGCCGGTCAAAAAAACTTGACCTACGATGAAAAACCCAATTTCTCGAATTTCCAGTCGCATTTAATTTACATAAATTATACAATTCTTTGTACTTGCATTACTTTTGAAAAAACATAGTAGTTTAAGTTAGATAAGTTTGAGAATCGGCAACGATCGGGTGTGGTCGTGACCACTTTCGCCTCAACTCGGAGGACATGGCAGAACGCATCCGGCTACGTGCGACCGGTTTGTTTACTATAAGCAATCAGAAAATGCCGTCAGCGACATTCAATATATTTGAAAGTTTTCAGGATTCTACTCATTAGTGACAATTTTCATATTTAGAGTGAATAGTGACGACACTGTCAACGAGCCTGTGGGAATATTGGTAAATTGTTGAATGTGTGACGTAAACTTTGAACGTAATCTTGATTAAATGTCATTTTGCAGGTTATTTGGCAGTTCTGCAAAATTATTAATAAAAGATGACGAAAAAACAATTAGCAGTTGAGCAGCGGGCCCAAATTTGTATTCTGAAGAAATGTGGCAAATCATTTGGAGATACTTTTGCGCATTCCGAAATCGACAGTTATTTTTACGTGCAACCGTTTTTCCGAAACTGGATTAAATTCTAATCGAAAAGGTTCTGGAAGGCCCAGAAAAACATCGACAGCAACTGTCGATAGAATTGTCATTATCAGCAAGAGAAACCGCTTCAATACAGCTCCGGACATTTTGGCTGAAATCAACCCAACTTAAAATGGTTCCATTTCGGTTTCAACAGTTCAAAGACGACTGCGGGAAAAAGGCTTGTTGAGTCGTGTTGCCGTAAGAAAACGATACACGAGAGGTGAATCACAAAAAAATGTTAGCTTATGCTCAAAAGTATAAAAATTGGATCAGTGGAAATCCGTTGTCTGGTCTGACGAATCGAAGTTCGAATTACTTGGTTCAAAATGTCGTTAGTACGTTCGCGGGAAGGTTAATGAACGTTGTGATTCCGCTTGCATCACCCCCACGGTTAAACATGGAGCTGGTTCGGTCATGGGTTGTTTTGCTTATAATGGTGTTCGCTCACTGATCAAAATCGATGGAATCATGCGAAAAGAACATTATCAGCAATTCCATCTGGGGCCCGTTTGGTTGGTCGTGGCGTTACATTGCAAGATAACGATCGCAAGCATACTTCAAACCTTTGTATGAATTATTTGGAAAAAAGAAGAAGGGGTGCTGTAAATGCTGGATCATCCTCCTCAATCACCCGATTTGAATCCGATCGAAATGCTCCGGGACGAACTCGATCGAGAAGTTAGATAACGTCGACCAATAAATCAAACAGATCTCTGGAATTGTCTGCAATTAGCCTGGGAAAATATCGAACAGGAGACATTGGAGAAACTGGTTGAAAGAATGACGTTATCAAAGCTAAGGGTGGTTACTTCGATGAAAAACGCGTTTAAGTGCATTTCAAGATCTGCTCTGCATTTGGCATTTCTAATATATTTTCGACGCATTGTATCCTTTATTAAGATGTACACATACATTTGAATTAAATCAGTTTAATCCATTGAATGAGGCTAAATTTCGAAAAAAATGACGGTTTCTATATCGGTCAAGTTTTTTTGACTGGCAGTGTATGTCTTTACTTTTCATACATAATTTCTAAGTTTCAATAAAAAATTAAGATGAAAAAAGTGGACCGATTTTATTTCATTTCACAAATATTCAAGTTACAAACCAGTCAGTTACATATCGGCCACTCTGTAGTCGTAATGTTTATTTGTAGATAAAGTTATTAAGAAATATCACATTTCATGCAATTAGTTATAAATAAACATACAATATCCGCTCAAACCAAAGGCTTGCTCAGTACAATTTGAAACGATAAATTTATGACGAAGATGATAAATTTGAGAGAAATAATTACAAGGAACCCGGTAAATTAAATGTAACGGGTGATTTTTTAAGAGGTATAGGATTTGATTAAAAAAAACACAAAAATTTGAAAAAACGATTAAATCTTTATTTGAGTCGACAGAACGCTCGATATAATTTAATGTTTAAAGATTATTTCATGTAAATGTTGGCCCATGCGCAAGGTCCAATTTTGGCATACTCTCTCCAACATATCGGCCGGTATCTCACGAATAAATGCTTCAATATTGGCTTCCAGTGCGTCAATCGTTGCCGGTTTGTCCCTGTAGACATTAGCTTTAACATGGCCCCACAAGAAATAGCCCAATAGGGCCATTGTTTCGTGTGCGGTGTGGCATGTGGCACCGTCTTGTTCAAACCACATGTCAGTCAAGTCCAGCTCTTCCATTTTGGGTAAAAAAAAGTTTGTTATCATCGGACGGTAGCGCTCGCCATTCACAGTTACGTTCCGGCCTTTGTCGTCTTTGAAGAAGTACGGTCCGATATTGCCACCGGCACATAATCCACACCCAACAGTGATTTTTTCGGGATGCATTGGTAGCTCTTGCAATGCTTCGGGCTGGTCTTCACTCCAGATGCGGCAATTTTGCTTGTTAACGTACCCATTCAACCAGAAATGAGCTTCGTCGCTGAACACAATTTTTCGATAAAAATGTGTATGTTCCTCCAACTTTGCCAGCGCCCATTCACCAAATTGGAAACGTTGTGGGAGGTCGTGTGGCTTCAATTCTTGCACCAGCTGTATCTTATAAGGTTTTACACCCAAATCCTGTCGCAAAATTTTCCACGTAGTGGAGTAACAGAGGCCCAATTGCTGCGAACGGCGGCGAATCGACATTTCACGGTCATCACTAACACTGGCGGATAAAGCCGCAATATTTTCTTCAGTCCTCACTCTACGTCTGCGTATTGGTGGTTTAATGTCCAATAATGTAAACTGGGTTCGAAATTTAGTCACAAGCTTCCGACTAGCTCCCTCAGTAGGCCGACCAAATTGCCCATAAATTGTAAGCAGTGCTCGATGCACTCTCTGAACCGAGCATGAATTTTGATAGAAAAATTCAATAATTTGCAAACGTTGTTCGTTCGTAAGTCGATTCATGGTTAAATTATAGACCAAACTGAACTAGTTTGACAATGACACAAGACACGAGTCACGCGTCATCTGTCAAACAGTGTTGCCAAAAAGATACTAGCAAAAAAATTACCCATTACATAATAAAAAAAACAAGCTAAAGAATGCCAGTAGCTGGCCTCAGTGCATGAAAGCGTGAACTTGGTTCCCAACAGACAAACCTTTACACCTTTCCCACTTGGAGTTTTTTCAATTTTCCTTATCTCTCTACTAATAAAGTAATCCGAGCTGATATCAGCGCTGTAATATTCCCTTCAAAGGAAGCACAGCTTAATTTGCAGTCAAAGCGCAGTGTGCGGTTTCCATGGTAGCTGTAGCACCATCCTTATGATCTACATAAAGCCACTGTATCTTCATCCCGCACATGAGTGTCAAGAACGTCTAGAGCTGTGAACTTTACGAGTTAGAAGTTTGTCGTCGGCGAAAACTCTCGTTCCATTTAATGTTGCCCCATTACACACCCCAACTATCGAAATAATCAGATTTCTGCTTGACTGCCTCATTTCGCTGCCACTACCGAGCACAAAATTCGTGTCGCCGAAACAATACAGGGACGATCAGTGAAAATTCGTCTACCTTCGATTCACCTTGTTTGAGCCACTTTATCTAGTTTCAGCTCTTCACTATCTTAAATTATTTCATTGGTTATGGATCCTCCATCTACCAAGACAGTGAGTTGGTACATAGACTCTTCAAAAATCCTCCAACATGAAAATCGGTGCAGGTGTTACGTAGCTTACCTGGTAACAAAATTTCCAATGAACTAAATAATTTACGAACTGACAAGATATGAGTGACATGAATGTTCATGCTAGACAATACATATAGTCTAGTCTAATGATATTAGACGAAAATACCCCTGGTTTGCGATATAATTGAGGGGCCTGGAAGTAAAATGGTTTAAGTACATTTTTAGTAGTTCTGAGATAAATGGCTTCAAAGTTTACTTGAATTTGAAAATTCCAGGAACAAATTTATCAAAGTATGATACTATATTAAGTTCATTTAAATGCCAATAAAACATACAAACAAAAACATTTTCTTAATTTTGATTTTTTATTGTCATCTATGCAAAAATATACTTGAATCATTATACATGTTACAAAAATTATGGTGGTAACATGATTCAAAAAAACAAAATTTCTTATTCATAATCAGAATCTAATATATGGATATCTTCCTCATTTTCTTCATCTGAATCAGCTGGTCTGGTCTTGGTTGGGATTCATCTATATCAGGTACTTTTTGGCTTGATGTCAGGGTCTGTGTTTGTTTCTTTTTTCCTTTTTTTGTTAATACTTTCCCATCGTGCTTCATGTTTTTATAAAATGTATGGTGAATGGACGGAATGTATTCCAATAAGCTAAGCAAGTTTTTGTACTTGGCGACTTTAATCTTTATTGAAGTGCCATTCAAAGGCTTTAGTATTGAAAAGTTAAAACACGGACGCCCAACTTTTGAGGTTGCCATTAAGCAACTGCTAAACTCTACATCAATGTTTAGGGTACTCTTGTACCGAAATGTTAGTCTTTCACTTTTCTAGTTAGCAAACCAGCAAATTTCTTTCCATTTTAAGGGGTAACCATCACTATTTTTTTTTGAGATCGTTCATAATCTCATTGAACGGCGAAAAAGAATAAAAATCGCCTTTGTTCATATTGTACACAATAAATTTGACCGATGTGCCTCTTATTACAGTCTCCCAATCTGCGGGGACAAAAATTTGAGGGATTTGCCTTTTTTTCTTCTCGATTAAGCCAAAACTACGGTCACATTCCATGTAAGTGTGCCCGGGTTCAAGGAACTTGTGATGAATCTAAGATATATGTGTAGCTTGAACAATAAAACTAGATAGTTTAGCAATGTTTTTATTCTTATTTTGTCCTCCAGACGAATCACTGTATGCAATAATCTTCGTAACTGTAGATGGAAGGCTTTGCACAAATTGTATTAAACATGATCCTATCTCCTGTGAGCCCGTGGATGCAATAGTTTCGTTCCATACATACATATAACTTTTTCCAGTCAGTGAGTCAAAGACACAGAAATTATACGTCCATAATTGGCGAAGATAAAATACTTTAGAGGTGGTTAACAACGGCGTCGGCAATGCCTGTTGCAAATCAAAACAAATTACAGCCGTATTTTTAGAATCATTTTTATTTTCAGCATTATAAGCTTTTTTGGCATCTGTTGCTTTCTGTGCCTTTCTTTGGTGCAGCTCGAGTTCTTGCTTGGCATTTTTAATCACGTCTTCATTTGTAGAATATTTTATTAAATTTTGTAAATTGTCACAACGACTGCAGGTATCACTATAGGGTTTGTGGAATCTTAAATTCAATTCCGTATTGAAAATATGCCTGTAATAGGACTCTTTCACTGGTAATTCTTGTTTGTCAATACAAAACTCCTGATATACTTTGTACATCTTATTGATACTTAATTCTCCTGAGAGATACCTTGCGTTCCCAATCAGTACTCATTTTGTTTATTATTATAACACTACCAACACTGCAAAATGCGTATTTTTAACTAAGAATCAGTAAAACCTTGAAATCACGTCACACGTAAAACATTGAAAATAGTTGCCAAAGCCTTAGAAGTAAAATGGTTCAAGTGCACTTGAATCATTTTACCACATACTGTATTAGTGGATATTTTGATATGTTCTCAAAGACTATGAGAGATGGCGCCAGGGAACGTTGCCTGCATTTAAATCATTTTACCACCAAGTTAGGATATGCCTTAGGTATGATATTCTGCACTTAGACCATTTAATTAAAAAATTGCACTTGAACCTTTTTACTTCCAAACCCCTCAATTGGTGTTATTGAAGTTGTTCAAGGGGATATTTAAAACATGGACGCACAAAATCGGTAGGTACACCAATTTTTCTGGGAAAACATTTTATTTGACAACAAAGATGAGAAAACCCGTTTTTGGGATTCAGTTGACAGTGTTGGCAGGAACGAAAAACTCTTTAAATCAGATTTTTAGGTATTTATGAGACCTACAAAATGAGACCACTCGTAAAAGGATCCGACTCATAGTTATGGCCAAAGACCGGAGCAAAATGCAGGTTTTGTCACTTCGCTAATGCGTTTACTGAACAATATACAGTGTCCGTTCAAAGGACATTTTATAGCAAAATACACGAATTTACCTTACCAATATGAATCACAAACCATTCCCAAGGATAACTGTTATTTTTATGCGAAAATGGAAGGGTTACATATTTTTCTTATAAACAAATTCAAACATTTTGTATATGTGATTAACTGAACAGATTCACTACGACATTTGAAAAGCATACATTATTAAACACATTTTAAAACAAAGCAGACCTTTTGTTACGAAGATCACAATTTTTTAAGATTTCTTCATACTCTGGGGTATACATATTTAGAGCTAAAATTAATACACAGACACAGATGAGCCTTAAAGTTTATAGAAAAATATTCGATACTGAAATGCTCTGAACTATTTATAAAGTTAGCACGCAAACTGAAGACGTAATTATGTTTCAAACTATTTTAGACTAGTTAGTATGTAGCATATGCTAAACGGCTGCATTATTGATGACTGCATGACTGCCAAATAAGTAGGTCACGTAATCCAGTTTCTTTACGAATATATATATATAATTCCCTAAACCTTTTTTCTAAGAGTATTAATATAGTATACGTCTGTTTTAGAAATCTCGTTCGATTGAAACGACTGCGAGTTCAAAATGTTGGAAAATAGACTCGAGAAAACGAAAAAACACTGTAGACAAATATCAACGACACTGACCGTCTTGAAAATTACGCAAAATGCTCCTTATCAGTCCCTTATACATTATTTAAAGACTCAGCAATATATCTTGTATGGTTTTCAAGAGTACTGTAATTGTTTATAACAGATTTGATATGGCTCTAACGTTCGTTTGACATTTGCCACTGTCAAGTATAGTGGTATAAAGATCCAGTAAATCAGGGTTTCCCGAACTTTTTTTTGTTGAGGCTCCCTGGACTATAAATTATACTTTCATGCCCCCCTTCACTTCTTCAGTAAATACAAAAAACGCACATTATATAGGCACAAAGACTTTTATTTTAATTTTAATAAAGAAACTTTAAAAGTTGAAATTATCTAATAAATATTTTTTATCGAAAAACTTGAATAAAATACGAGTAGGTACTAATGAGACACTTGAGATTGCATGTTCTGTACCAGTTGGTTGATTCCAGGTTCTGTTTTTGAGAGAGCTATCATTAGGTCGCTATCGACATCAAGACGATTTCGCTGTTTAGATTTTATTAAAACTAGAGTAGAAAAGCCTGTCTCACATAAGTAAGTTGAGGAAAAAGGAACTAGTATCCGTAAAGTAAGAGAGGCAAGGGTCGAATTAACAGGCAATCTTTTGATCCAAAATTTCTCCAATGGTAAAAGATGGAAGTCATCTTTCATTCATGAATCAGCCTTCATTTCTAGAAATTCTTCCTGAACTTCTTCTTTTAATTGTGACACATCGACATCAAATGGATTTCTTGTCATGTGCCATATTGGTGACTCTGAATTGATGTCTCGATAGTATCGGCGAAATTCTTCTTCCAGCGGTTGCCAATGAGTTTTTATGTCAGGTTTTAAATTTGCGTCCAGTATGTTATTTTTAATTGCTTTGAACAGCCGAGAAAAAGATGTAACACTTTCCAAAGTTGAAGCTTTGATATGAACCCCTGAATATAATCATAATTGCTTATTATAGTGTTGTTTCTGCCATGAAGTTCCAAGTTTAGCTCATCTAAGGAGTCAAATATGTCAGTTAAAAAAGCCAACCTCCATTGAAACGTGTCATCCTTGAACATTTTCAAGAAATCGTCTCTCTGAATTTAAGAAAAAGAATTACCTCTTCTTTCAATTCATAAAGGCGAGAAAACATGTTGCTTTTGGACAGCCAGCGTACTTCTGTATGGAACAGAAGAACTTTGTGATCAGAATCAAGATCTTCGTAAAGTACAGTAAATAACCGACTGTTCAATGTGCTGCTCTTGATGTAGTTTACAACCCTTACATCCGGGTCCAGAGTCTGGCGTAACTTCTGTGACAATGTTTTGGAAGCGAAAGCTTGCCGATGAATAACACAATGTGTACTAACCATTGCTCGATTTTTTCCTTGAGCTTTTTAGCTAAGCCCGATCGTACAGCTATCATTGCAGGTGCGCCATCTGTGCAAAGTCCAATGAGTTTCTTCCAATCCAAATCACTTTTTTCAATAAAATGTGATATTGAATTAAATATATCTTCAGACGTAGTACCTGCTGTCAAAGATTGATAGTACAAAATCTCTTCTTGAATGATATCTCGCCGATGTAACGAACATAACCTATTAACTGTGCACAATTAAGGAGGTCGGATTCATCGCAGGTAATGGCACAAAATGGCGATAATGTTATTTTCATTATTTGTGACTTTATGTCTGCTGCAATGTCATCGATCCTACGCTTGACTGTATTATTGGAAAGGGAAATAGACTTCATTTTTTGCTCTACATATTCTCCTAAAATTATCTGTGTGGCTTTTAGGACACATGGTTTTATTAATCCTTCAACGATAGATTTTGCTTTGCTATTTCAAACGAAGCTTTGAGATGCTGCGATACGGCTGTGTGATAACTGCCCGATTTATCCAGTCTCATCCGGTTGAGTGATTCTGCTTTAGAAGAAAAAAACTCTTTCGTCTTCAAAACCATGCCTTTCAAGCCGATTGGGCCTCATGCTATCATTACTTAAGACTTTCATACATATCACACACTGAGGTAATTGTAACTCGTCTCTTTCTATAGAGGTAAATCCAAACTTAATGTAATCTTCGGAAAAAATTCGATTTTGCACCTATAACAATAAAACAAATAAGTAATATATAAATAAGCAAACTACTTACATGTGATTACTAATTATATGCTCATTATTTTATCACAATAACGTAATGTATTCAACAGTTTATTGGCCACTAGAAAATTTATATTTTTGTAGGCAGGTTAATAGTAATTTTAAATATATTAATTTGGAATCAATATTAGGTACTTACAGTTCGTCGTTTCAAAATTATTTCGCCACGGTGGTTTGATTGTGATGTAAAAAAGTCCCAATCTATGGCCGATCTATGAACGCGTCTCCACTCAATCAACAATTTCGTAAATTAAATAAAAATGGTAACTGAAGTTTGTAAATATACAAACTTACCTTTTAACAGTGAGACATAATAATTTGACACACTCAAACACACTCAACAAAACATGTACATCGAAACGTCAAAGTTTTCGAAATTTTGTGGGAATAAATGTCACAGATGCTCATCCGCGTCTGGTACTGGTAGGTACACAATTGTTTTCTAAGTGATGAACGTTAAGCGGAGCGCGGCGGGGGAGCTCGCGGATTTCATGTTGTGACTTGTCGAAACTTATATAAACTGCGATTGACGACGCCGGGTTTTGAAACAGCGGTTGACAGAATAAGTGGAAATGGTATTTAATTTCTAATTTTATGCGTGTAAATTAAACATTACATTGGAATGTTATTTGTTAATGTTGTTTGTTTATTTTTTTGTATTTGGACATCTCTCTATGTCCCTCTTGGGAGGCGCCCCCCCCCCCTGGTTGGAAACTCCTACAGTAAACCAAGAGGCGTCCTAGCGTAATGGGAAGGGTTGACGATTGCAGAACCTCAGGAAAGATGTCCGAATCCACTTTGCTCCTTTTTTCTGTATTATTTTTCTTACTATTATTTCGGAGAAATTTGTTAATATTATTAGACTAACACAGGGCTCGTTTGTGTGTGAAACGTAAAAGTAGAAACAAATCGTAGGCTCTGAAATTTTACGGTATGGATATATCTGCCAGTTTAGCTCTAAGGATATTTCCGAGAAACCGAATTACATTAATTGGGCCGCCGTATATGAGGTAGTGTAGAGTCTCATATCGATTTTGTTGACAGATCAAAAGTTTATACAGGGTAACTCAAAAAATTCCCCCCTTTATGAAGAAACAGATTGTCGTACTTTCAGAGCAATGAAAATGAAAAAAGATGTATATTTAAAATTTTGTACCTGCAATATTAACAGCCACTGTCGTAGAAACTGAGATATTGATACGACTCTGACGTGGCGGCAAGTTTGCTCTGGGCTGAGCAGACTCTCTGGAATGGAGGCACAAATCATAGCGCAAAAAAATCAAATATTACAGTGTATTAACAAAATGCCGCGCAAGA